CTGCGGGAGCTGGGAAAGCAGAGCTTTTACTCTCAGAGAAACACCAGATACTGAAATTCATTCTTCTGCAGTACAACTGGCAGGGTTTCTCCTGATTTACAAAGTTGCAAAGTAGATGAACCTGAAGCCTTTCTTCTGGACTTCAGTTTATTTCATTTCACTGTTTGAAATAACAAACCCAGAATATTACAGCTATTCTATTATATCTAATAATTACTCCCTAGAACAGCATAAGGAGGGCTGGTCTTTTTAGGGAGGGATATTTTAAGTGATTCATCAGAGCTGCCTCTCTTAGTAATCTGAAACAGATTTTCTGCTTATAGGAAAACTTTCAGATGCAGACATTCCTCATCAATTCAAAGGTGGGAGAAAAGGCTATTATGAGCCTCCCTGAAAATACTGTGAAACTCCATCTTCTGAACATTGAAAGCTTTCAATACTGGCTCTGGGTAGCATGAAATGTATTTGCCTACTTCTCATTTGCCAACATTGTTCAAAAGGAAACGTAAGTATCCCAGTTTGAAGTTTAAAACCAGGGGCTCCTTTCAGCTCATACAGGTAAGACAGGCTAAGGGGTGAGCAGCATGTCTGTAAAGTGCAGGCACAGCACGGCTCCACTCCAATGCCAGCCCATTGCCCCCACTGCTACTTTTAAATTGGTTTTACTCCGTTTCCTTAACTGGCACTGCACTGGTTGCATTTAACAAAAGGACTGCTGGGTTGGGGAAAACAAGCTTGAAAACAAATATTTACTGTTTAGTGGATGAGTGTGATGCCAAAATGCCAGAACAAAGCGGAGGTACCAAGAGCTTTTTAAGCCTCATTGAGAGTCCTCCTGTGGTTTAAAAATACATTTAAAAAGAATTAAATCTAACAACACATTTTAAAATAATCAAAGAAAATTGTATTGGAAATAGCCATCCCAAACACACAATAAATTGTCTACCCACATTTTTAAATTAACCACACAGTGTGATATATAAAAATCAGCAATAACATTTTACAATTCTAATAATAACATGCAGTCTGCAGGCGTGTGATTCAGTACACATTCCTTGGGAATGTATTTGGCCTTTGGCCCTGTGTCTCACAGGGCTCCTGAGGAGAGAGCAGCATGCCTATAAATTTATGACTGGATTACCTGTCATGTGTTATTCCTTACCTAATTGTTTCTGTAACCTATCGTTATCCTTATTATTGTTCTTTCCCATTATCCACTTAGGACTGTTTAATGTATGTGTTGTAGGGGAAACAATGGAATTCCGGTCACTACTGCATTTTTCATGAAAAGGCTATTTTTATCCCAAAATACAAACAATGTGGCTATAAATATTCCCTGTCTTCCATATATTAAATTTGGATTCACATTTAAACATTGATTTCAGAAATGTTCTTTTCCTTTTATGGTTAATACAGCAACAAGAGCTGTAAATTAGAGCTTGATCCTGGGGAGAAAAAAATTTACCCTTTGCTTAGGACCTCACAATGCTGGGTGCCTGGAAATGGTTGGATGGGATGGAGGAAGGAGTAGATGCACACAGAGCTGCTGGTAGGCAGAGATGAGGGAGTGTGCAAGGGCTCAGGTAAAAGCAGCAGCAGCCTGAAGTGCAGGCAGAGGGAAAGGCAGGGAAGGAGACAGTCACACAAAGAGAGCAACCACCCCTCAGAGTGACAGGCTCACACTTCTCCCTGGATGTCCCCCAGCATCTGTACCATACTGCAGGAGTGTGTTGGCTCTGGATCTGCTTTTGCCCTTCATCTAGCTCACAGTGTGCCCTTTACCCTCTCAGACAGCTTGGCATGATGGATCTTGATGACATTTAGCCAGAATTTTCTTAAACTTTATGTTTAATTTAAAATCATCCATGACTGCATTCAGATGACTGCTTCCCTGGTCAGAGATATAAATCTGCTATCAATAAGAGTAGAAAAGGCAACTGTAAGTAAATTTCTTTGACTGTTAAGATTTATACCTGGTATTTCCCACTAAATCTGTGGTAGTACAATGAGAAAATCTTTCAAACTGGTAGAAAACATAGCATTAGGACATGCAATATTTTGTACAGCCATAGTACTTTCCAATTAAACACATTGCAAATTTGACAAAGCCCCTCGGTGCACTTTTCAACTTTTAAATATAATGTCCAATTTCCAGCACATGAAGTAGAGAGGCATTATGTCACTGCGCATGTGGTGAAATAAGGATATAACAAGGATAGCCAATGTGGTCAAGGACATAAAAATATACAGGCTGTAGCCACTTGTTCCTAGAGGCTCATCTGAAAGTAAAATGAACACAATTGAAAAATGTTCATTTTTTGTTTAAAAATTGTTTTGTGTTTTTTTGGCATCTATGTTTACTTAAAAAAATTGAGTCAGACTTCCTTGGTAGAAAGTATATAATAGGTTTAATAAAAGGTTTCTTCAACATGGTCTGGAAAACCTGTATCCCGTGCATGACATTGCATGGGATAAACCAACCTTTTTCAACATAGCAATTCCTGTGGAGCATATTTTAGAAATAAATTTTTTTTTTCCTGGTTTAAACCACACGCTATAGCTAAGTACTGGTTTTTTTTTTAAATAGCAAAACATATGAAACAATTTTATGTTTTGCCTTCAAAGGACAGTAATGGAAAATCGTATCACACAGCAGCTTCTGCCCACGCTCACTAGCTAAAACCATAATAGCATATGTTAATGTATACTATCTAATGGACTTTTAATTCCCTTATAATTTAGGGAGTTGTAAAGAGAAGGAAAAAATGTGGAGGAAGAATAAGAGGATATCAGTATTCAGCGAGAATACATTTATAATTTTTGAAGCTTCAATTTGCAGGAAAAAGTAGATTTATGTTACTGTCAGAACAGCATTACCATTACCACTATTCAAGTACACAGTTGAAAACTCTGTGGAAAAGAATTTGCTCTTTCAAAGAATGTTTTGCTAAAAACCTAAAAAAACCCACAAACCAGAGAAAACAGGCCCTGCTGACTCTCCTTCCTGACCAGGTCCTCCAGGCTGACAGGATGGTCAGTTTGGAGAGCAGATTAGGCTCACATGAAAGTGGAAAAATTGGAATTATTCAGTCACTAAAGGACAAGAAATCTCTCCTCTGTCCCCAGTTTTATAGCATTGTTACTCCACTGAGCTGAGTCTCAGAAGAAAATTAAGCAATCAAGCAGTTTACAGTAAGTTCTGTTTTACTGCATGGTTTGGAAAGTAGGCATGTCGAATATTATAGATATTCTGTCCAAAAATATCCATCTTACTAAATTGCTACCAGGTTTGGTTTAAAATTGGTAAAGATATAACTCTTATTTAAAATCTTATATTGAAGTGACAGAGAATAACTCTTGTATTTAAACATACATCATAGCTTTAAGCTGCAGTGACTTTGGACATTCCTGGGCTAGGTGCAACTTCTGTTTGTCCCATTAGTAAGCTAGAAATACAGAGTTATAAATCATAAGTTTTTAGTTCTTAAGCATCACAAATACCAGATCTTAAACCTGTCACTGGTGTTGGAAAGTATATTGGGCATAATGGAGCTCAAGCCAGTGCAATTTTAGAGAGGAAATTCTGCTTTTTACTGGAAGAAGATAATTCATTCTAGCCTCTTGTTTCTTTGAAACATGGCAGCTCAGGGTTTTGGCATGTTAAAGAAAGCATATGTTAAAGTAATGTCAGGCGCCTTTGATTACAAGCACAGTGGAAAGGCTACCTGGGCTGGAAGCACTGACCCCAGCCTATGAAGGCATTTAATCTTCTAGTTATACCTAAACTTGTGCTTTGAGATGGACATCTTGATGCTTGAAGTTAAGGAATTTCTACGTTTCAATGGAAAACTAGTTTTTAGAAATTACCTAAAGTTAATTGGACAAAAGCCACAAATCCAACATAAACATAGTTGCATTTTTAATTCCGTTACCATCTCCAGTAGAGAAAGGACAGAAAATAATGGAGCATTCTCCACTCCTTGAATATTTGTACAAACCACTGGTATTGCCCCAATATGGGCAAGAGATGTACAGCATTTCTGCAGCACCTCTCAAGAAGCTGATGGATACCCCAGAAAAAGAAGCTATCCCACTGATCTAGAGATGTAGCTTTCTACAAAGGTGAGCATATGATTCACCACAAAGAAAACACCTTCTATTTTCCCAGTGTAGACTGTAGTTTTTTCTTGCAGATAAACAGTGAGGATCCTAACCAGACCACTATAATGGATGCATTTCCTTGGAAATATTAATCCCATTTTACAAAAGCATTTGAACACATCTCTGATTTTCTTTAAGTCCTCAAATTCTTTGCTGGGTTAAGGCTCAAACAAGTATTATATGCCACCAGAATTAATTCTGGTTTATGTATATTTGTGTGTGTGTGCATCACTCTGTTTAGGTCAAGTAAAATAAATGCAAAGACAAGCATGTTAGCAGCAAAGTGACCCTTTAGAAGTCCTAAAAAATTACTCTTGCAGTCCATAGTCCAACATTTAATAATGCTGAACTTGATAAGGGATCTCAGAACCTGAAAAAGGAGATGTGAAAGGCACCTTTATAGAAAACAATTGATTTGCTTCATTTCATTGAAATGGCTAATGCTTTGATGGTTCATATTTACAATAGCTTGTCCTGTTCTTCAATGGAGTTGATATGTTGGAGTCTTTAACACCATAAACTTGATCAAAACTTCCTGGGTAATAAACAGAGCGGAATTAAGGTGTGAGCTCCCCCCATCATGCTACTACAGCCCATCTGTGTGCCAATTTGTAACTAAAGACATCAAGAAATGTGTTCTTCATGCTCAGATGCCCTTGGTAGTTGAAAATAGTTCTGAGAGCTCAATATGCAAACTGGGTTCAGAGTCTGAAAGACTTCAGAGTGAAAGATTTGACCTTCTGTAGCAAAGGCTGTATCTGGCTAAATCCACTACTGAAAGTAGAGGTTTTACACACCTCACAATGTAATCTGGATTTTAACTTCTACCTGCCTTCAAAAAAAAAAAAAAAAGGCCAAAATTCCAGAACAAAATGACACTCAGCTTTCTGTTTACCTTTCACTAAAGCATTAATGTCTTCC